TATAATGACAATGTACATGAAGGGTATTGTTATAACAAAACAATGTAAATAAAGGGTATAAATTAACCATTTGGCCCCTCAGCAACATTTTCACTTCATATCGGCCCCTAATTCAATCAAAATATACAAGCATAATTTTCAATACATAACAGAAACATAAATTAGATCATAAACTCATCATAACTTCATAACAAAATCCAAATTCAAACAATAAGAATTATCACCTCCAATGGAGGCATTTTTTTCCCTATGAATCTTTCATCCTATGCTAATAAACTAGTAGCCACCACTAAACAAAATTCAACAGCACATAATTCAAAACTATAAAATTATATATCTATATATATATATGACCAAATAAATAAGCTAGCAGGAACTACTATTGAATATCGACCAGTCAAGGTTAGACTTGTTAGGAGCCCATGGTCTGGTCCAGTTTGACTATTAAGCTACTAGTCCTGTCCCGTGGGGAACCTAGTGATCATCAGGCTAGAAAAACTCGACAAGATAGAAGAGCTTATTAGTCCAACTGGTCCAACCCCTAACTCCATCTCTCTCTTTTTTGTCCTCTTTGTTAATGGGCTGACACTAAAGTCTAAAGGGTGAACCTAATAATTTCATCCATTATGTTTTTAGCCCTAGTAACAACAAAACTAAAATGATATCAACATAAACATATATACTACCTCTAGTTATTAATATGAAAATTAGTTGACTAATTTGAAAAAATAAAAAATAAATAAATAAATTACTTTAAAATACTATATTTATCATTTTTTTTTCTAAACTAATTTGTCTAACTTATAAGCTGATATATAGTACAATGACTCATAAGTATTTTTAAAAAATTATGTAACATATGCTATAATTAAGTGATTTTTCAGTTTTTTTAATTTTTTCAAATTAATCAATTAGGTATTATATTAAGGATTGGGGTAATATATGTAAATATGTATATAACAAAACCAATAGAAAAAGGACCAAATGGCTTAACTGTAAAGCAACAACACGTGGTGGCAAGTTTGAAATGCAGCCATGGGAATTGAACCAAGTCTTGCTACCAATGAGGCAGCCAAAATTACACAGAATGTTACTGCCACCACTCTTGCTAACAACAGCCATCCTGTCTCCAACCATACACAAGTTAAATATTAGTATAGCTAACTAAGTTGTCAATCCATCCTACTTATTTTGTTGCAACAGTGAAATAGAAGAAAAATGAAGGCCATCGATGCCGAAAGATTCGAAAAAGCTGACACTCAGATTTCATTTATGACAAAAACCTATAACATGATAATGAGCTCCTGACCATAACCTGAAAATATGCAGATTCTTAACAATGGAAGGAGTTCCACTTTCTTTATTGGCATTAAGAAGAGGTCGCTCCCATCATATACCTAAAAAGATTTGTGAAGAAATTGAGGGATAATACGAGATTATTTAAGAACACTTGAATTTTACTCGACATAATAAACAATTAAAAACTAACATAAATTCATGGTAAAACTTACAAGGCTAGAACATTTGCAATGGCTGTACCTAAGTCCCAACCTACACCTTATGTATTGGATCCAAAACAATATTTTAGAATATCTCAAAACTACTACCTCCGGTCCTTAATATAAGACTCCATGGTTATCAAATCGGGATACAAATCGTGTATTGGAAAGCCGGTTTTATGAATCTTGAATCGTACCGTATCGTGAATCGTAAGATTCATGAACAATTATTAAGGATAATGTCACACCTTACTTATATAATATCCTAGAACCCATTTAGAATCCTTTTTGACCATATTGGATGGTCTTGATATCAAAATCTCATTTAGGACGTTACTTTTTCGAAATTACTGTTCACTGTGCAAATTTCAGGTCTTTGAAAAATCTTAACTAATTCTACAAAAATCATATGGAGGTGTTCTAACATTCTACAGAAAGATCTTTCAATGCTCTTTAAGGAAAAAATACCCAATTGTACTTATTATTACCCAATTCATACAGTTTATTGGATAACGATTACTGTTTATTGGTAAAATCTGGACTTTTCAGATTCTGTGCCTAAACTTTGGAAATTCATATCTCGTTATGTACACATCCAAAAGAGGTGATTTGCATCTCATTTTAAAGCTTGGGATATGTACTATGAGTCTGCCAAAACTCGTGACTTAACTCATTCGTTTGATAGGTCAAACTGAAGTCTAAAACTAACTACTGCAGGACCTACGTTTTATCCCTTAATTAATTTTTACATTAATTCTTTTAATTTCTTTGACATACATAACATGGGCTTACTCTTTTCCATTCATACTCATGCACTTTTATTCATGCTATAAACATTATAAACCCATACACTTAATTGATGGCATTCATAACATAAATTTACAACATAGGAGAATTATACATTGAACATGATCTCAATCATTAACGTCAATAATGTTCGCTTTCTTCTCCTTGCTTCTCATGCCATTAGTGCCCATCGTTGATTGACCTAAATGGTTGGTTAGGGAGGGGTGAGATTCGGGGGAATCTCAGTAGCCAACAATACCATATTAATCATGCTAGATGGATGCTAATGCACTACACGTAACTTGTTTATTCTCTTGTTAACTAGTGACATATTAGCATGCTCAAAGCTAACTTCTTGATGCATGGATATGGAGACATAGTCTACTCATCATGAATAGAAATTAAAATAGCTAAAACATGTCAAAATAACATTCAATAACATGTACACGGCAACACACAAGCATACAACATCAAGCAATGACAATAGGTAAGTTCACTACCTTGCACCTCAAGCTTTCCTCTTACTCTTCCTTTGACTCCCTTGACTTTCCAACCATATGGGCATTCAGTCAACATCACTAAACATCCTCTTGGATACTCCAAAGGTCCTAAACATAGTCACATTGATCATACAATCCATTAAGACCTCTAGATTACATAAAGTTCAAGACTAGCTCTCTTGAACCTCAACCCTTTCTCTTGCTTTTAGGGTTTCCTTTCTAGCTTTTCTAACATAAATATCATCATTTTCCATCCTTAAGATCTATTTCTTGTCAATTAGGACCACTTTAGATGGCCTTAGATTCAAGAATATCAAATCTGAAAATTTTGGTTCGCGAGTACTGTTCACGCAGAAACTCCAGAATTTTTGCTCAACTTTGAAAATTCATAATTAATTCTAGAAAAATCAAAATTGAGTGGTTCCAAGTCTCACTGAAATATCCTTAAGTTAAATTTAAAGAAAAAATAGTTTCAGGAACCAATTCTATGCTGAACAGTACCAGAATCGTACAGAACTCGACACTCTTCCAAAAGTTCAACACTGTTTCCAGATTTACAACCCTAACTTTGAAAAATCACCATAAATCGTACACATATCCAAATGAAGTGTTCTACCCATGGATTTAAATCTTACAGAGTGTACTTTAATCATGCCGAATTTCAAAATCAGATACAAAGAGTAACTTATTCTAAACAGGCATCAAATCATCACATAATCCTTTCAATTTCCACATAGATCCACTTGAAACAACCTTTAATCAATGTGTTCTAACCAAGTTTAACATCAAAATCATCCTCCCTTAACTCTTATTAATTTTGGCCAGCACCTTGCCATAAGGGAAACCAAACTTTTCAACCATAAAAACCAAAGATTCAAAGCAAGAAACAAGAGGAAACAACTTACTAACCTTAGATCTAAACTTGGTTGATCAAAGTAGGTGTCTTCCTCTTGATTTAAGCTTCAAGAATCAAAATTGCAAGAGTTTCCCCTAGTATTCTTAAACTTGGCTGAAAATGTGAAGGAGGGAGGGTCTATTTATAGCCAAAAATTTGGCTTGAATGGACCAAAATGTCCTTGGTAGCTAGAAGAAGGAGTAAGGGCAATCTTGGAAGTTCAAGTGGACTTTTGCATCATCATTGCATCACTTTCTTGCACTATGCTTACCTCATTCTTCTAGAAGGTGCCAAGTGTCACAAAGGTGGTGGAGGAGAAGGGAGATTAGATCCTAGTCGTTGGATCAAAACTTAATTCTTAAGTTTCCTCTGAATTTACTTGGCCCACGTTTCTCCAACTTTCTTTATAGCCTTCCGGAGCTCAGAAAATTCTTCTATCTATTCCATAAATTCTCTTTAATTTTCAAGAATATCTATGAATTTTCTTAGGCTACAACACTCCCTTTAAGCCTTGCACAAAATTCATTTATTGAAATGCCCTTTTATCGCCATAATCGGCTTTTTAATTTATTAAAGCCACTCCACTGACCTTTTGGTTGTGGGACTAATTTTATAAATTAGTACAACCTTTCAACCATTTAACCTCATTGTTTTATACATTTTTGAGGTCTCTTACTATTTTAAATAATTACCTTAAACAATGTACTTTTTACTGGCCATAACCTTATAAATTCTATTTAAGCTACTTCAGGGGTATTTTCGTCTTTTCTCTTTACAAAAGAGCCTCAGAATATTATTTCCCATTTTTTGGGATTTTCTTGGAATTCTCTGTATACTCTTCCATTTTTACCCCTGTTGGTTATAACTTTTTGAATTTACGGTTTAGTCCCTACTTGGATTTAACTTCATATAATCCTCTCTTTGAGATTTCTAACTTAACCTTTAGCCTATATCTAGTCTCTTTTCTTTCTCTGGGCCTTTGAGACTTTACTGGAGCCTCTAGCTTTAATTATACTTGAGCCCCTGAAAACTTTTACTTTGCAGTTTAGTCCCTAAAACTGCTTTGACTTCTTTTATCATCTTTAGGACTTCAACTCAAAAGGGGTCTAGTAGCCTATCCAATTTAGGCTATTTCTGGTACTTCTAGGCTCAAAAATTTAGATGTTACAGATAATGTATAAGTAATTTTCACTTAAAAAAATATTAAAAGTTTGTAAATATTAGGTGCTATACACTGCCCAAAAAAAATAAAATAACCAATATATGAAATTTTAAAGATAAATAGTCCCCAAAATCCATTCAAAATTCAAACTCCTAACTTAAAAAGACTAAAGTCAATAAACATAAAATTCAATTCATCATTCATCATCTCCAAGATCAATGTCACTCAATTCATGATCATCCTCCATTAACAATGTCACTTCTTCATCATCCTCTTCTTCCCCATCTTCAACATTATCTTCATTCTCATTCTCTTGTTCTACTATAGCTTTCCCCTTGCTATTGGTTTTGGCATTCAAATTTCTTGGACCTAAGGGGAAAAAAAACTTAATAAGTATGATGATATATATTTAAACTAAAATCAACTTAAATTTAGTTTTAAAATGTTATACCGCTTTTCCTTTTCTTGCTTGGAGCTCCTTCATCAAGAGTGAAACTCTCATGTATGTCTATCCATGACCCATCTACTAGCAAGCACGGGTTTTCCTTTTCAGTGATCCACTTATCATCAGATTCAATATCTGATAAACAAATGGGATCATATGTCTCTCCCTTTTCCTCTCTAATATTTTGTCTCATCTCAAGTTGAAGGTTATACTTGACAAATACAAGTGCATTTAACCTTTGTTGTTCTAAGTGATTCCTTCGCTTAATATGGATTTGATCAAATGTGCTCCAATTTCTTTCACATCCAGTAGCACTACATGTGAGACTCAAAATTCTCATAGCTATCTTTTGTAACTCCTTACCTTCTCCTCCATAACTTTCCCACCAAAGAGCTAAAAAAAATAATAATAATTAGGAAGTTTTTCAAAATTCAGATTTATTATTAAGGTTAAAAATTAAATTCTTATAAATAGTATAGACTAGAGAATAATACCAGGTTGCTTTTTGTTTCTAGTATCTATTGCCATGCTCCTTCCAAAAAGTCCCTTAGCAGACTTGAATGCCTCGAGTTGTTGATCAACTAAAAATCTTGTCTTTCTATCCGGAATCATTCTCTCAATAGTTTCATATAAACCAAAAATAAACTTCTTGATCAGTGTTAAATTTTTCATCATAATGGAACCTAAAAAAATAATGAATAAGTTATCTTTTTCTAGTATACAATTAAATAATAAATATTTAAATTTTAAACTTCAAATTGTATAAAACTTACTTAAGATTAAGAAAGTAGGCAGCCGTATGGAGGGGTCTATGTAGTTGCAAATTCCAACGAGTATCAATAATCTTCCATATCTTTTTATACCTTGATTCCTTCTTTTCAAAATTGTCAGCAATCTCTTCTTTGGCCCTATCTATTGCTTCATAAATATATGGCATAGCAGGTTTAGAGTCACCATCTACAAGTCTCAAAACTTTTATAAGTGGACTCACACACTTTAAGCAATATTTGATGGAACTCCAAAATCTAGAATCCCCAAAAATCATGCCTGCCACTTGCTTGCCCTCACTTTTACTAGCAAAAGAACCAGAAACCTAATCATCTGAAGCAAACATGGTTCGAAGAGCATTCTTTTGCCGGAATATGCAACTTAGTGTAAGATAATCTGTTGCAAATCTTGTCACTGCTGGTCTAGCTAATTCTCTTCCCTTGGAATATTTTCTATACAAGTTCAAAACCCATGTATGCCTATAAATGAATGTTGTTATTTTCTTTGCATTGGTGATGGTATTATAAAATACCGGAAGTTGCCCAATGTCTTCAAGGACTAAATCAAGGCAGTGAGCTGCACAAGGAGACCAAAATAATTTTTTTTCTCTTCTCTTCTAACATCTTCCCTGCTACCACGAGATTTGAGGCACCATCTGTCACAACTTGCACCACATATCCTCTCCAATTTCCTCAACCATATTGTCTAGTAATTCAAACATTTGTTTAGCATCTTTAATCACACTACTTGTGTCCACTGACTTTAGAAGACTATCCCACCAGGACTATTAACTAAAAAATTAGTAAGAGACCTCCCTTTACCATCGATCCAACCATCACGCATCAAAGTACAACCCTATTTCTCCTATTCCTTCTTATACTTCACTAAACTTTTTTGAATTTTATCAACAGCTTTTTTCAAATGAGAAACTCTCACCTCATGATAACTTGGAGGTTTCAAACCCCTACCATATTCACCAACAGATTTTAACATTTGAATAAACAATAGACTTCTTACCAAATTGAATGGTAAAGCATTACCATAGATGCATTTACAAATATCTTGAATTACTAAATCTCTATCTTTTACCATCTCATTCATTGTTTTTTGTTTGCTAGTTTTTGATGTCCCTTCCTTCCCCTTAGCATCTTGAGCAGTTGCTTTTTCAAATATTTCAACACTAATAGCATCTTTATTTTTTTTCTTTATTTTCTAGCATTTTAACAAACAACTTTTTAGCTTCATCGGGAACACTTGTACATGGACTCACATTTTCTCTGGTTCCTGCCAAATGATGTTTCATCTTGGCTACCCCACCCCAACATCGATGTGAACAGTATTTGCATTTAACTATAAGTCTATGGGGAGGAACACTTTCACAATGTTTCCATGTAATGTCAGCTTCCCTTTTTTTCTTATTCTAATTCTGACTCATTTTTCCCACCAATATAATATCCAATAAAAAAATAGAGGAAGAAAAACACCACAGAATAGAAGAGAAGAGAAAGAACCAACAAAAGAGGAGACTCGAGACTTCAATATTCAAACTTGAAAGCTTCCAAATTTCTGCCAGGAACCAATAGAAGAGAAGAAAAGAAGCGTGGGGCACAAGATAGAGAGTAAAACGTGAAAAGAAAGAGCAGGGGAATAAAAAAAAAATAGGGTTGGGTAGTTTCCTTCCTTATATAACCCAAAAAAAGCAAAAATTCAAAAAAAAAAGGTAAAACAACGGTTTCATCGTGTCGGGTCACGCACAGGTCCGAGTCAAATCTGCGTGACCTAACATTGCCTAGAATCGTGCGATCCGTCGAAGTCGCGCGATTCACGTGATTCTGATGTGAATCACGTGATTTAGGGCTCGATTCAGACGCCCTTAAGATACACTAGGAGATTCGTATCTCCCAGTGTATTTTCTGTAACGAATCGTGCGATTCGTATCCCAAATTGCATGATTTTAATAACACTGTAAGACTCCATTTGACTTTTATTTTGATCCTAAATATAAGACCACAATCCACTTTGTCTCTCATGTTTACTCAATTTTTTCTAAGATAGTCCTTCTAATAATTATAGTTTTAGTTAATACACTTGATTAGCAAGGATATTTTAGGAAAGAAAACACCTATTTAGAACAAATAGCTAACTCAGCTTACTTCCTTAATCTCTTCAAATTAGTCAACTGACTCTTATAATTAGGACCGGAGGTAGTATATCAAGACAAAATATGAATGAACCAAGTTAGAGAAAATATTATTTAGCTTCTTTTCCGCTTAACATTGTTAAAATGCTAGTTGGGGTGTCAAACCACGTCAAACAAGTTAAATGAACTAATCCTCAAGTTTAGGCTTATCGTGACAATAAGTAGAAGCATCTACTGGTTGTTGAAAGTAGTGGTTGGATCCATTTTCTGAAAGCTTCCCCGGCTGAACCTAAACATCTAGAAGAGGTATAGTGTAACACCTTACGTTTACAACCTTATGTTGTGCCAAGTTAAGACATTCGGAAGCGCAATCTAAGGTTACCGGGTTGAAAAACCTGAATTTGAAAATTTCTTTTCCCGCATTACTATTCACCGTAACCTTAAACTTGGCATAACTTTGAAAAATCATAACTAATTCTAGAAAAATCGAAACGAGGTCGTTCCAAGTCTCACTCGAAGCTCTTAACATCATCTATCAAGGAAAAATGACCTCAGGTTCCGCTTTAATCAGAAACGCATTCGTTTTCAATTTCGAAAAGTACTGTTCATTTGGTCATTTTTCTATTTTCCAGGATTTTTGCCTAACTTCGGAAAAGCATAACTTCTTACACAGAGCTCCGATTGTGATGCTTTACCACTCATTTTAAAGGGAAAAATAAGATCTATTTGCATACAAAATTTCAGGGAAAAAGTCAACCATTTGACCAGGGTCTTCGTTGGTCAAAGTTTGGTCAAATCTAGACCATTTTTATCCCCTTTTTTCACTAATTTTGACAGCATTTCGTTTTTCACTATAATCATACCATAATCACTTATAAAGCTACTCTATCATTAATATACATTCCAAAAAGGGTATCATATCATGTATTTATGAACATAGTATGCTTACATGGCTTGAAAGAGAAAGGTTCAAAACCGTATAATACATTACATAATTCATAACTTCTTCAAGCCATGACTATTTCCTTTCCTTTCTCCTTAGCAGTAGTGGCACCTAGGATATCATGTTATAGGAGGAATGAGATTTCATAGAAATCCCAGTAGCATTGAACATACAACCATCAAGTCAACATGCATAAGATGTCATGCTACATGCAGTAAGATAACATTTCTAGTCTTTATGCCATGCTATAATCATTCTGTATCCATGTCATCATATCATGGAGCATATAATCATTCTGGTCAAAACTCAATCATGCAAGAGCCAAGGCATACATTGCAAGGAGTTCACATCATCTGTACATAACATTCTCATGGCACATAAACACACATAGCAGATACATCAAATGCAGATCAACAAAATAATTGCAGTTCACGCTACCTCAATTCCTTGCTTAACGTTTCCTCCTTGATCCCTTGCTGGAGATCCTCCTAGGTTTCCAGAAGAGTTGCCTATCAACCATACAGTAAGGGTATGGTAAATTCCATATCCAGTATACCATTCTTTCTCAATATAATGCTACCCTTGTATCTTTCAATTTATAATTTCTGTATACCTTTCCTAAACCTTTGACCTTGGTTTGACCAAGCCTTAATCCTCAAGTAAGGTCTTGGAATTCTTCCTTAACCCATGATTAATCATGCTTCCTTGGTTAATCACTAACCCTTAGTCCTTAATCCAATACTTAATTAAGGTCCTCAAGTCACATAGTCATAATCCTTTAAGATTAAATCACTAATCCCTTTTTTGGATTAACCATTAATCATTCTCTAATCAACATGATTAACCATTATTCATTCCTTAATTAACATGATTAATCATTTTCTAATCAATATGATTAATCATTAATCATTCTCTAATCAATATGATTAACCATTATTCATTCCTTAATTAACATGATTAATCATTTTCTAATCAATATGATTAATCATTAATCATTCTCTAATCAATATGATTAA